GTCCATGGAATTGCTGAAATATTTTTTGTTAATTACATTAGATTATTTACTTTAAAAGATTTTTGCCATTATTGTAAGATTGACATTATGTTTTGAAAGAGATTTCATATTTATTATTAATGAAAGGAATAAAATACATTTTCAGAGTTTATCAATCTTAGTTCATGGAACTGATGAAATGTTTTAGTTACTTACATGTTGTATCAGAAATTTTTGATCATACAAAACATGCACAGTCCAATTTTAAAGTTTCTATAATGATATTCAATATCTCATTCTTCCCAGATTAAAAAATTCCATGTCCTAATTCAATATTAAAAATATACAAATAATATAAAATTACTTAATAACTTAAGGTGAGCCTCATTTAATAATTAGGTTGCACATCTTTGTAACAAATGTCACTAAACAACGAAATACGTATTTCTCTCTCTTAGATAAGAGAAAGATTTATCAATAAAGGAAGTTTCTGTATAATTTAAATTTTATCGATGTTGATACAATTTTGAGCTCATATATCGTTTATAGTATAGTATAAATAATAATAATAACTGACAATGGAACTGTTATCAAAATTCGTGAATTAATTCGTAATTTTTCACCGAACGAAGACTATCTAATATTTAAATTTGTTTACCGAGTTAAATCAATTTTTTCATTAAGCATTTCCGATCGCTTGAAAAGATTGCGGAATAGTCTCACGACAATTGCGTACACATATGGGGATGCTATGATTGTCCATGGATAATGTGTTTCTATCTGCCGATAATGCCATCGGGTGAGCCTACTAATAATTCGACGTCTCCCTGTTTGCCGAGAGGCTTCGCCTTCGTTCCACTTTTTATTATGTTGACTCGCGTCGCGATTTTTCCATTCAATTTCGTCACCGATTCCGAGAATGGGGAGTAACTAATGTTTGTCGAGCGCCTTGAATCTATTTGATAGAGTTCCACGTCACACGTAGAGATGCAATCTCTAATCCGATGCTGTGTGTAACTGCTTCATACTTTTTAAAAAGACTCGATCAAATACTGAAGCAATTGAAATTATTTTCTTATTTTTAGCATCGGTATTTTACATGAAATTTAATAATGTCAGACGATTTTTAATGTTTAAGTTGATCTTGGAAAGTCAATCTATTTTTTTTAATACTTATTTCATGTTATTCACTAATATTTGTAGCGTTTCTTTTATTTACTTATATGTCATAATCGAAATTTAACAAATCTTGGATACTTGTAGGAAAATTTATCTATATTTATGATCTATGCATGCGTTAATCGTGCAGTCATATGCCATTTTAGTGAATCAAATTATAAACAATTTGTTCTTTTTATTTCCTTGTCAATGAACTGCAGATTTTTGTACAAAATAAAAATTATCTGCATTAATCTCAAGATACAGAAACTACCGCGATATATTTCTCTCTTTAATGGTTTTATTGAGTTGGAAATAATGCAATATTATTTTTTAATTATGCATCGATGAATGCATAAAATCCGCAGTATAGTTATCGTTTCTAAAATTTTCGAGAAATTAAAGTAATTCATTGATTCGAAAGTAATTTGCTTGTTCAAGATTAATTTGTTTATCCAAAAGTAATATGCTAACACTCGCTATTGCGTAAACATAAAAGTGAAATACTTGGAACAAAAACTACGTTGGCTGCCTTGATTTATTGACTAACCTTTATTATCGACTATAACTTGAACATACGATTATACAATATATTATGGAAGTATATAGCTCCGTTATGGTAAGCATCAGTAGATTATAAATTATGCATCAAAACCAACTTTTATACAATGCCTGCTCTCTGCTTTAATTTAACAACGATACTGCTGATGTATAAAAATGTGTGGCTCTGTTATGACTATTATTAATTGCAACCAGCTAGACATTTATTAAAAAACAAGTCTTCCATATTTATTTGAGGATGATATAATAAATACATATTAAATAGAATACGTCGAACAAAACTACTAAAACTTTGAACAAAATCAAAGGCGTATTCACTATTCCAACAGCAAAAGAAGTATTCCACTTTTTGAATCAGAATCGAATCTGGCACACATAATATTGCGTAACCCTAAAACTAAATGTTCTTGCACGAGCGATGGCACGAATGACGCAGCAGGCCAACTGTTTAAGTACCAAAATTCTTATTTCCACCCAACAATTTGCATAGTCGGTTCATTAAACGAATTAGTCCGTTCATTACCTTGAATCGTGGTTTGTTTATCTTTGCAGGGGCAATCAACAATTGTGCGCTCTACAAGCCGTCCAACAGTTTAGTATTCGTTTGGCAGAGCTACAAGGCGCGTTGCGAAGGGATAAGGATACCCTCGCAGTTTTGAACGTCGCCCTCCAGGCTGGTGCCACATCCGAGGTAGCTTCATCGGTTCGTCACGTCGCTAGGCTACTGTCCGAGAAACAGGACATCAGTTGTCAGGTAAGATGGAATCCTCTCTATTATTAGGTCTGGCCAAAAGTATTCGATCGAGGAGACCTTATCTGTCGTATTAATTACGAAAGGGAAAATATAATAAATGGACAATAGTGGACAATGTATCATCTACTGATCGTGATATGAAGAAGTATAATATTAGTGTAACAGTTTTTTTTTTGAGAGAGAATTGTGTAGTTTAGACAGATTTATTTATGTATGACATTATAGAGAAAATTTCAATTTTCTGTTCTCAAAGATTTTGGAGGGATTATTGTACTATTATATGTTTATATGAATCATACTAAAAAAATAAATATTAAATACACATAAAATTAATTAATACTAAATAATAATAATTATAATAATTTATTATTTTATTATAATAAAATAATATATTTAATTATTATAATTATTTTATTATTTATTTATAATATTTATTGTATTATATAATATATATTTAATTATAATATTTAATTATTATAATAAAATAATATATTTTATTATAATAATTTAGATAAAATAATAATTAATAATAACAATAATANACTAAATACGTACTAAATAATTTAACAAATTTTGCTTGAAATGTTTCTCATATTTGTTACGTATCAAAAGTTATAACTAGACTGTGGATCATTATGCAATTATTTATTTCCACAGATTATATTTTAAAAATTGAACTGGTGGTAGAACTTATTTTTTTCATTAGTATATTCGTTGTAGAAACTTGAAATTAATAGAACGATTTTCTAAATAGCATTATTA